GAAAAAATACAAACTACATATATATTCATATGTATGTTTATATGCCGTCGGCATAGATCCGACCAGCGTGCCGCGGATCACTGACGTGGCAGATATGCCGACGGCAGCCGTCGGCATAGCCTCTGCATGGTGCGGCCTGGATCAATGACGTGGCCTGCGGACTTATGCCGACGGCCCCCCGTCTAGGCCGTCGGCATAGCTCTGACGCCGTTTGCCAGGGGGTGGCCGGGCCCCACGTGTATGCCGACGGCCTTCGTAAGCCGACGGTAGCTGTCGGCGTATATGTAGCTAGGCCGACGGCCATTTTATGCCGACGGGTGCCGTCGGCTTATCTCTGCGTAGCCCGACGGCCTTTGTACGCCGACGGCCAGAACCAGGTTGTCGGCATATCTCCGAAGAAGCCGACGGGGGCCGTCGGCATTGTTCTGGCCGTCGGGGTATGGCCCTGTTCCGGTAGTGAATACGTGTTGTGGGACCTGCTGGTCGGCGACTTGTACAAAAGCAAGTACTGGTCAAATACCTCTAAGTAGTTTACTCCCTCCGTAAACTAATATAAAAGTGTTTAGATTACTACTTTAGTGATCTAAATGCTCTTATATTAGTTTACAGAGGAAGTACTATACTTGAGAAGAAGACCAGCACCTAGCATCTCCATTTGAAAATACAGTGGACGTACGCTTACAGTAGTATTTGACACCACACGTACGTACACGCGCAAAAGGGCATAAGATCGATAACCCTTGATCATATGTGGGATGATTGATCAGCTCGGAATTTAGGATACAATAAACTATAAACAGTGTAAAGGTGGGGTAAAGATGCTTGCGAGATTTAACTTGCATTGCATCACCACACAACATTCTAGTAGCCAGTAAGGGGGGAGCTTTTTGTCAGAAGCGGAGGAAGAATATTATATGTCGATAAGCTTAGCAAGTGGGAGTGGAATTGTTAGTCGCTGCTGGTGACAAGGACGCGACGCCGATCTCCTCAACCGGAGATGGAGCCTGGCCCCGGCCGTATAAATGGCGGGCACGGCGCGGGGAGATTCTAGCTGTCATACAAGCCGGGAACCGGAGCCAGCAAGCTCATAATCCCACTGCTGATAGCGTAGCCACACCCATCAAATTAATAGTATTAATCGTAGTAGCTAAATTAGATCAGCAAGTTGGAGTAATATATAGCAAGGGAGGGCGCGTCATGGACGCGATGAGCAGCGCGGTGTTGCAGGGGGCGTGGAGGAAGGGGCCATGGACGGCGCTGGAGGACCGGCTGCTGACCGAGTACGTGCAGCAGCAGGGCGAGGGCAGCTGGAACTCCGTCGCCAAGCTCACCGGGCTGCGGCGGAGCGGCAAGAGCTGCCGGCTGCGGTGGGTGAACTACCTCCGGCCGGACCTGAAGCGGGGCAAGATCACCGCCGACGAGGAGACCGTCATCCTCCAGCTCCACGCCATGCTCGGCAACAGGTAAGCACGCACGCTTCATCTCATCTATGAGACGTGTACAGTCTACTACAGTGCAAGTGGCTGTAGTAGATGCTCACGTACTGTATGACTGTATCTTCTTGGGTGCGCGGGCGGTGCCTAACTGAGCGACGCGTGGGTGAATGGATGGACGGACGCAGGTGGTCGGCGATCGCGCGGTGCCTGCCGGGGAGGACGGACAACGAGATCAAGAACTACTGGCGGACGCACTTCAAGAAGGCGCGGCCGTCCAGGCGGGCCAGGGCGCAGCTGCTGCACCAGTACCAGCTCCAGCAGCAGCAGCAGCACCGCCAGTACCTCCACGCGCTGCACCTCCTCCAGCAGCAGCAGCAGCAGATGCAGATGCAGCTACAGGAGAATCACCACCACCAGCAGCAGCAGCAGGCGATGATGATGGCGCAGCAGAGCCCGCCGGAGGAGGACCAGGCCGTGATCACCGCCGTCGGCAACATGAACAGCATGGAGACTGCAGAGTGCTACTGCCCGTGCCCGGCGGCGTCGGCGGTGCTCGACCTCCCGCTCCCGGCCGACGACGAGGACGCGCTGTGGGACAGCCTCTGGCGGCTCGTCGACGGCGAGGACGGCTCCAGCGGAGGCGACTCAGGCGAGTACTAGGCTACTGCATGTGCTAATACTACTACGGCAATGTGCATGTGTCCCGTTGTAAAGAAAGAAAGAAAGGAAGGAGAGGTATACAATACTGCCTGCAGGTTAATTTCAGTACTATACTGGCCGCAGGGATATCATCCCGGCGGTGATAGCTAGGAAGGATCATGCATGCATGCATGATCACGCACGCATGCCAATAGTTCTTCTTCATGCATGTCCCGTGTACATGTTTACGTTTTTACCCATGACCATGAGCCATGATGAGCCCATGATCAGGTGCACTACTGTACCAACGTCTTCAGTTAGCATGTCAACAAAGCTAGCTTGTAAATTGCAGCAGCAACAGCATCATGTAATTTTGGTCTCGCTTCTCAGTCAGTCAATCAAGCACATTTTCTTCAGTCGATGAACAAGCAGTGCAGCAGATCCCTACCCACTTGGCAATATTTTATGCACCTTGCAGCTAATTCGCTGTACAAAAAATGGCCACGCACACCTATCTTCACAATTGGTTATCAATCGTACACATAGTTACTCAATGCTTGACAGTGGATTTATCATATATAGCATGTTATTATGATCCAAGCGGCCGTATGCTTAATGTTTTCCTTTGCATATATGGGAGGACAGGAGCTTGACCGAGTTGCTCAACTCACCATATATGAATTCAGTTGCGATACGAGTTATTTGTTGTAAAGGTTGCTGTTGCGATACGAGCTATTTGGAAGTGCAGAAACAATGCTTGCTTTCGTATCTTCCCTTATGATCCTACTAGTGTCGCAACAGCAACCTTTACAACAAATAACACAATTACAACAAAACCACACCAAAGATAATGAAAAGGAGGAAATCACACAATTTTCACCGCTATCAGGTATGACATTTATCATTCCCATTCGAGCGTCGCTGATCATGTACAGGAAACTACTTGTACTTGTATGTCCCAAGATCAATTAATTTTTCTAACCCCATGCCCACTAGGCCACTAGAGTATTTAAAATAAATATACCGAAGCAATAGCTGTAGGAATAATCAAACTAAAAAATAATTCGGATAGCCTCAAATCACCTAACCACTTCACAAGTTATTTCCTGAAGCTTGGTTCTGATGAATAAGCAACGCACGTCACGCCACGTCAGGCCAGCCGCTCGGAGAAGGACTTTGTCGACCTCACCGACCGGCCGGAGCCGCGTGAAGGAGCAACGGTCGGGGAGCGGTTCAGCATTTCGACGGCGGCGGGCACGAGAGCCTGCGAGCGGTGCAGCATGTCGACCATCGACGGCGTCTGGTAGGTGTGGATTTGGGTGTTGAGCTCCGTCGAGTCGCCGCGCGCCGTGGCCCTCTGCCATGAGTGCGAGCTCAGGCCTGCCAGCATGAAGGCCCTGCCGGACTCGTCGTACCTCCGCCGGCTCTCCACCCTCTCCTGCATCTCCCTCAGCTCCGTGATCAGCGCCAGGCACTGGCTGTCTGAAGATTGCGCTGCCTGCGACTCCAGGATCCTCGTGCGGCCTTCGAGGATCGACACGGCCTGGGAGAAATCGCCTCCGTCGGCCGCGGCCCGCGCAGCGGACATGTCCTCCATGGCTTGAACGCGGTGCCACTCGCGCTCAACCTCGGGAGACATTTTGCAGTCCACAGAGTATGCAGGACGCTCGACACTCACTTCTTCACCCTGCACCTGAATGCTCTCTGTTGTAACTGCGTCTTGGTATGTACAGCTTGGCTTGATCAGTACAGTCTGCTGCCCCAGTGCAGCTGGGACATGGAGGGTGATCAGAAACCCCCTCTCTTCATCTGCATACAGGTCGCCTATATCGACTGACCCGTTACGTCCATCCACGGCTACTTCACTTGCATAGCCACCTGACTTGATGGAGGTGAGTAGCACGCTTTCATCCACACACTCGATGCCCAGCCGCATCTCCTTAACCACAACACTGAGGAGGCCACCAATACACTGAGCAAATCCATTCTGGATTGAGCCTTCGGCGTCGATAAATGAGAATGTGCCGCTAGATGTCTCCGCAATAGCGTGCATCGCCGCCGAGTCATGATCTGCACCGAAACCAAAGGTGTGGATTTGCACATGATTACCTGTTCCAGGCAGGATTGAGGGAGGAACAAGCATGCTGTGGTTTGTCTGAACCCCATCGCCATAGGTTGGCACCGAATATGTGTCTTGACCATCCGACAGAAGAATGATGCTGCAAACAGGATTCTTCATCCGACGGTGCTCGATGACTTTAGCACCCTTCTTTAGCCCATCAGAAATGTTTGTGCCGCCACCATCAACAAGGGAATTCACAGCCTGCATGGCTTGCATTCGTCCGTTGACGTTCATTTGGCGAAGGGGAAAGAGCCTCCGTGCCGTAGACGAGAAGGCAATGACAGACAGCCGGTCATTGGGCCCAAGCGTCTGGATGACAAAGCCCATTGCCTTCTTGAGAAGTGCAAGTTTGGCCCCTTTCATGCTGCCACTGACATCAAGCACGGTCACAAGGTCAAGAGGCGCACGGGAGCTCACCGACTCCAAGGACTTCGGAGCCTTGAGATGAATCAAGATAGAAAAGACCTTCTGGGTCACTGACTGCTGTATGGCCTGCACTTCTGCATATGTCTTGATTTCAACCGAACCAGTGACTGCATTGTTCTCCTCCACATTTTCAGACTGAATATCTATTTGCTCATCGTCATTGAAAATGTCTGCCTCGGGAGTACGGAAGACAGGAAATTGCTCCAGCAGATTTCCACTGTATGAGTTGGAAAGCCTGCGGATAACAGCCATGTGTCCGTCGTCTTGGGGCCAATTTACCGGGCTTACTCTAGCTCTCCCATGGGTGGCATCTGCAAGTTGAGGTCCCTGGAAGGGCAGTTCTTTCCAGTCGGCACGGCATATTGGGCAGATATGGTTGCCATGCCTGACATTTGAAGTGATGCAATGGAAATGGAACTTATGGGAGCATTCAGCAGTAAACAGGGCCTGTCCGTGCCCTGTCCTCATACTGCCAAGGCAGATGGCGCATACCCTCTGAAATCAAGAAAGCCAGCGCAGAAGAGTTAGCATGATAGAATCAGAGCTTGCAACTGAGCACAAAAAAAAATAGCTTCTACCCCAATTGGTTATATGAATGATGCGTAAAAATGTGCTCTGAATAATGCCATTGAAACACTTGTGTTGATGTAAACATCAGACAAGCACACTAACAGTGTTGCAGATTTTCATACGACATGCTGCGGATAAGCAAGACTGCATGAGGCTCTGTACAACCAATCAAACGGAAGGAATTTATCACGCAATAGAAGAGAAGAACTAAAGGTTGGTTATAAACTTATCATGAAGGTCCAAGAGCCAGAATTTGCATACCTTGAAAATTGGCATAGAGAACTACTACCAATCAAACATCAGGTGTAGTATGAAAAATGCTAGTATCAACATACCATACTAAATCAACTGAGAATTTGGGTATTAACACATGTAGACGATATCAGAAAATACGAACCGGAACATCCTAACACTATATTCTGCTTTCATTCATTCTTGGTAAGCATTAACAATCAGAGCGGTAAAACCAGAATAAATTAACATACTTTTCTTTTGAAAGAAAGGGCTTTTCCACCCATTTTATTGAATGAAACCACAGTAAGCATAGTCATGAAGGAGCTCGGGAGCAGTCCATGTGACTGACCAGAGGAAAATTAACACAGTACTATTTCGCTATATAAAGTGGGTTGGCAATTTGGCATGAGAAAATATTCTTTGCAAGTCAAAGTAATTCACCACGTTGCACGAAGGACTCTGGTTGTTGAAGCCAACTGACAGAGAGCCCAAGATCAAGTCAAATTAGATGGGCCTACCAACCAGTCAAAGCACATGGAAAGGAAAATGGCAGGAAAAATTGAATAGGAAAAGGTTACTGCATTATGCAGTTAAAGTTGAACAAACTGCACCACAAGGCATCACAGGTTAAGCCTTCAGTGGCAGTGTAACTGTAGAAAAACATGCAATATTTTCATCAAAAAAGAAAAAAAGATGCAATCCATGAGCTACAGCTCTAGCCTGGCCTCCAAACTCAATCCGGTGAGCCATGCCCTGGCCCATGGATTTTATATTTATTTAAAAAATAACATGTTAGGCACGTGGGCAACTACACTAGTATAGTATAGTATAGTATAATCCTCATATGTTAATTTCAGTTGGTGATCACAAGGTAGGAGTAGGACAAGTTGGAGAGACTTTTCAGTTTGGCGATTTCCCTGTGAGGAAACTTATTACCGCCTTGGTGGCACCTGACCGGTCAAAACAAAATGAGGACCAGCTGGAAGCAAGAGAAAACAATTTTTGGTAACTGAAACCCGCAGGCAGCTGGTGACAGACGAGAAAGCAAAAGAATCGGCGTGACTTGCGTATCTGGTTAACAGTTGGAGAATTGGTGAGCACATTCAATGATTATCACAGTATATCTTTTAAATTTTAATGTTATTAAGAGAAGGCACACCAAAAGAAATAAATTTCTCCCGATTTTGTTTGTTTGCTTGTCCGACGGAGATCGCACGCGGAAACGATGAACTCCGGCGAACTCGCACGGCGGTCTTTCACTGCCTACACGCAGAGATGGGACACGGAAATGATGAACACTGTTTTTTTTATCGGAGGATGAGGAGCTCGGTCGAACTCCTGCGGCGATCTTTCACTGCTACCGTAGGTAGAACAAATCCAAAAATATTCGAGACGTGGTAGCACGATCTTTTCCCCGGCGTGTCCACGCGGTTTGGCACGGGGCAGAGCGATTAGGAGATGGATGGATGGAGATGGCCAAGAAGATGGAACCCTCACCTTGGAGCCCCGGCTGCCGGAGCTGGAGAGCCGCCGCGAGGACGCGGACGGCGACCTGGCCCTCTCCTCCTCCGCCGTCGCAGGGCCCGGCGCCGCGGCCGACGGCGGATGGTGCGCCTCGCGTCCCGGCGGCGGCGGCGGCGCGTCCTCGAGGGCCCTCTGGCGGTCCGGCAGGCGGATGCAGAGCTTGGTGGCGAGCGCGCGCTTGGCCCGGCCCCAGGCGTCCGCCATTGCTGGCTCCTCCCGACGCGACCCGACCGGCCTGGTCCCTCTCTCGCGCACGCAGAGGTGGGAGCGGAAGTGGGATCGCTCGATCGGCGGAGGAAGCGGATCAGGGAGGAGCGCCGGAGGGAGGGAGGGAGTTGGTTGGGTCGGGTCCGTCTTCTCCTCGCCGCGCGCGTCCGTTTCTTGGTTTATTATGCGGGATGGGAGCGTCTCGGCGAATAAAACAACGGGGAGCAGGGGAAACTTGTTCGTGCCTCGCTTCCCGTTTTGCCCTCGGGTGGGAGGGTGTGGACGCGCCGGGATCCCCGTCAGCGCGGGGCGTTTCGGGGATTTCGCGCCCGTGGCGCGTACTTGGTGACTCTGTCAGTCTGCCTCCGCGCTTCGAATTGAGGGTTTGTCTTTTTTTTTTTTTGAGGGAATTGAGGGTTTGTCTTGTGTGGATGAACAATTGAATTCCTTAGTTTCGGTCTGTTCCGATTCGATTTTGCCGATGAAGGCTTGTGCACGGTTCGGACCTTTGCCACGTAGGCATTCAAACCCCACTCAGAGCCTTGCTTTTATCACCCAACCCTTGCATCATTGCTCTATATCTGCGTAGTCCGAAACCGTGTTGCTGCTGTACCACTCGCTTCGTAGCCCGGGACTTGCCGGACCTCCACCGCTCCACCTGGGCGCGAGCTCTGCTTTGCTTATGCCTCCCTTCCATCCATTGTCCGGCCGCCGCCCAGGTAACCTCTGCCACTGCACATTGCAGTCCATGGCGGACACCACGCCCTGGCAAGTGTTCGGCCAAACGCCGTGGCCAAAACTATTGATGTGTTTTTGTTGTTTACTTTGCAGCAAACACGATGGATTCTGGCCAGAGAGTACTTCTACACCGATGATGCATGTGGTTATTGAAGATGCCTAACCTGGGGAGGAGCATGTTCTCGATTTCAAAGGATCAATCAAGGGGCATCGAGTGATGGATCAATAAAGGGCACGGGGGCATATGATGCTGATGGGCGATTAAACTGTTCCCAATGCGCAATTCAAGTTATTTTTTCTGCCATTGGTTCCGGATGAGTCAAATTGTGTTCGAACGCCTCTAAAATGTTGTCTGGGCCTATAACTGCTACTTCATCTTGAAGAAGGATGTCGTCGTAACCATCGGCTTCTCTGGTTACCAGAAGATAACAACTTCTTTGAAGATGCTTGCCTGTGGCGCAGCCATAGATTCGTGGGAAGAGTAGCTCCGAATATCTAAAAGCACATGTCTTGAAGCCATGGTCAAATTTTCAACTGTGATGGTCAAGCTGTTTGGACCGGAGTACTTGAGGGAACCAACTGTTGAAAACAACACAAGGCTAATAGCACCGTTGAAAAGCAAGAGGTTGGCCAGGTATGCTCTGATCCCTGGATTGCATGAACTAGCAATGGAAGAATTACCCATATGCCCTACAAGGGCAATGTCAGGGCCATTGCAAGAAGCCCATTATCATTCTGGAAGCAGTTACATCACAAGACTTCTGGATTTGACACTCTTTCTTTGGAGTACCCGGGTCTCACAATGAAATCAACATTGTGTAGCGGTCTCTATTGTTTGCAAGGTTGTGCACGAGACAAGCTCCTCCGTGCAACTATACCACCAATGGTCATGACTACAACATGGGCTATTATGTTTGTGTTGGTATCTATCCTTCATGGTCGACCTTCGTCAAGGCCATCTCTGAACCAAGGGGTTAGAAAATATTATACTTTGCCCAAAGGCAAGAAGAAGCTAAAAAGGATGTAGAGAGGGCATGCATTTGGAGTGCTCCAAACCCGTTTTTTTAGTTGTTCGAGGAGCTGTAAAAATATGCGATCCATAGACATTCTGGGAGCTGATGACAACTTGTGTGATAATGCAGAACATGAGTAGACGATGAGGGTGAATGCGTTCGCCACTATCCGAAAATTGAGCGCATGGGTGATCCCATTGAATTTCCATAGCAAAATCTAGCGAAGTTTGAGGATTTTATTCAAATGCTTCAACAGAATCAGCATCAAGTAACTCACAAGCATGTTCAAAATGATCTAGTTGAGCATTTGTGGGCGCTTCGCGGGAAGGTAGAAAGTTGTGTCAAAATAAGTTGAACTCAAATTTAAACTATTTTATTAAAAAACTTCATGTTTGGATTGCAATATTTATATTTGAATATTTTCATTGAAATATTTCCACAACAGAATTATGGACCAAAGATTAATTATTAAATGCTCTGGGTGTAGGAAATAAAATAAGATGGGCATTTGGTGCATAGAGTTTGATGACCGCCCCACTATCCACCGTTCGCAGACACGTTCAAACGTATCCGCGGACTTTTGGGGTGTCCGACTAGACTGTGTGGCATGCCCTGACAAAGTATTTCTCCATTTGGAGTACTTGTGACTTTCCAAATTTCAATGTATTTTTAAGGTAATTTCAATGTATTTCAATTATTCATTGCTTGTTCTCCTCACTTTCTTAGGCTATAACAGTGGGGAGCGTGTCTTTCAGGCGTGCTCAAAACGAGCCAGAGTCTCTCCAATTTTAATTTGAACTCGGGCATCAGACAATGACTACCCTTCCGTGTGTAAGCGTGTGGTGTTGGCTGATACACAACTCCTTGATGATGACTACTTGTGGTCCTTGTCAACAGTTTTTTTTTCCTTTGATAAGATGTATTGCCCATTGGGCCGTTAAGTTTTTTCGATCCATTTTTCTTTGTGAACTACATCAATCAATCTTGTAAAAAAATTCAAAGAGATTCTATTATAAATGGGCGAGACATTTGAGGCTCGAAATTTGGATGAGGAGGAAGGATGTTGACCGAATGATTAAGACTTAGCTTAGAGCACACCTAAAGGGATCATTGTCATGTACTCCGTATACTAGTACTCCCTCTGTAAAGAAATATAAGTGTGTTTTTCTTTACAGAGGAAGTACATCGCTTCTTCTAAGCAACAATACTAGCACGATATAGTCGTTTTTTCTAGGATCCGTGGTTCATCGCTTGCAAGCAACAATATGAATTAGTCTGCTTGACTAGCCCGCGCTACATTGGTCCACGTCCTCTTCAGATAAGCTCCACATGAATGGATGGACGCGTTGAGATGCTCATGAAGGAATAATAACAACGACTTTCTCATGATGGTGTAGAATTGTGGATGTCTTTGAAGGAATAATACTCTTTCTCATCAAAGAAAGAAAGGGAATAATACTCGTACTCGACAACGCCATGACCATATCAAGCGAATAGTAGTAGTGCTTGTCATTCCATGCCATGCCGGGCACGGTGCTACTCGAGGTGCGCCTGCGTGGACTTTGATCCGCATTAATCCATTCCATGCCGGTGCACGCTATCTATCTACTTCACCGCCTCCATCGGTCCGCGGTAACGTTTGAACGTACGTACGAGGACGTGTTAATTATAGTACTGCATCAGCCTATCTACCTAGTGGCGCAAGCACGTACTCCTCCGTTTTTTTAGTCTAACTATAAAATTTGGTCAAAGTCAAACTCTGTTGTAAAAAATATCAGCAAGTACAATATTACATGTGGTTGAGATGGTTAGGTGGACAGTGGTATCCCCAACCCACCAGGGTTCAAATCCTGGTGCTCGCATTATTCCTGAATTTATTTTAGGATTTCCGGCGATGCGCTTTCAGTGGGAGGAGACGTTCCCGTCGACGACGAGGCGCCTACGGTGACTTCGTAAATCTCAAGATGATATGCCGGCTCGGTCTTTCGGAGGTGCTCATAGGGGTTGGGTGTGCGTGTGTGCGTTCATAGGGGTGAGTGTATGCGCGTGTATATGAGCGCTTATGTCTGTACTGATGCTAAAAAAAGTACAATATTAAAACTATATGGTATAAAAATCAATTTCATGATGCATCTAATAATTTGATTTCATATTGTGAATCTTGCTATTTTTTTATAAACGTAATTAAGGTTGGTAAAGTTTGACTTTAATCAAATCTTATATCATACGTGTACGTGCACGTGGCGGTGAAACCAAGAAAACATATACTGCCTGGACATGAATGGATCAACGTGAACAATCAACAACGACCAAGCATGTACGATGTACGCATGCACACCATGTCGATCGAATCGAACGACCGGTAGTGTGCCTAAATTATCACTCCAAGCAGGCAAATACTACGTTTAGAAACTTCATTAAGTTGTATTTCCTCCGTTCCTAAATATAAGTCTTTGTAGAGATTCTACTATGAATTATATACGGATGTATATAGATGCATTTTAAGTGTGGATTCATTTATTTTGCTCCGTATGTAGTCCACCTAGTAAAGTCTCAACAAAGACTTACCTTTAGGAACGGAGGGAGTATATATGTAGTACTCATGTCTGCTAACTAGCATTGAAAATTAATTAGAGATGTTTCTGTCAATTAGTTTGCATCTCCGATGGTAACCCATGTCATTTCTGGTCAAGGTTTTGGTGCTAGCTGGCGAACGGAGAAGGCGCGAGTGTACGTGTGGATGCACAGGAACGGAATCAATAATAGTAACAGAGCTGGAGCGCACCCCGCCGCCCACTTGAAATTTGAGCTCAGAACAGAAGGTAGATACAGCTACAGCAGATCCGGCCGGGCCGGAAGATCCGGACAAGGTCGTCGAACGGAGCCGAGCATCGTCCAAGAGACAAACGAGGCCAGCTGCCGATCGCTATCACGTAGCACGTCAAAGGCAGCACTCCAGGATGCATGAGAGCGACGGACGTACGTGATCGCATCGTGTACGCCGGCCGGTGCATATCATATGAGTAGGAGTATACAGTACATGGCTGCATGTGCACGGTGGTGATACCTTGCGACAACTTCTGTATACACTTTCTGTCGTGCTCCGGTATCCGGTGATCTCGACGTGTAACCACGAGACGCCCGAATTGACAGGACACAGTGTCCCACCCCCCGGAATCCGATCCAGCTGCGGCAGTGTGCGGTAGCTGGATAGATAGATGGAGCATCGCCCGCATATGTGCGGTG